CTTCTCTCCTTCTCTCCTTCTCTCCTTCTCTCCTTCTCTCCTTCTCTCCTTCTCCCCTTCTCCCCTTCTCCCCTTCTCTCCTTCTCTCCTTCTCTCCTTCTCTCCTTCTCTCCTTCTCTCCTTCTCTCCTTCTCTCCCTCTCCTTCCCTCCTTTGCCTCTCTCGCCCTAAGCCTCAAGCCCCAAGAAACCTGACACTCTAAACATACATGAATTCATTGGCCGAGTAACGACGGCTCACACTGCTCACGCTTGAGAGCAATGTAAAGCGACTCCAGCGTGTACTGAAGCAGGGAGCGGCCCAAGTCTTGCACGCTGTCATCTGTCACACTGCGCTGAGAGTACAAGGTGGCCTGCTTGGACGCGATCTGGGTCACCCTTGCAAGCTTGGCGTAGCCATTGGACAGGATATCTCGGCCATGCTCACGATGGATCCTGGTCAAGATCTTCACGCCGTCGACGGGGTCGAGGGTCGTCGCCACTGCAATGGCGCCCTGCAGCATTGTCTTGTTCACACTGGCACCATTGAACCTCACGCCATCAGCCTGGAGCAAGTTCAGGAGCTGGCTCTGTTTGATCTCTTCACCCTCAGAGATGTACTTGGTCTGGATTCTCATGACCTTGTACGAGAAGTCTTGAAATGAATCCGCCAGCTCGGGGATTTTGACACTTTCACTCTCAATGAGCGACTTGAGCAGCAGTTCTTGCCCTTTCAGAGTGTAGGCTCTGAGTGTCAAAGTCATCCCCATGTTGAAGAGCTGGTTCACTCTCTTCTCATCGTTCTGGACAAGGGCCCTTGCCATGGCCATGTACCACGCCAGGAGGGGCAGGTGGCCCCGCATGAGGCGCAAGCCAGCGGGCCAGGTGTCTTTGTGAGCCAGATTCGCACTCACATCATAGACAGGGAAGGGGTTCTTGAAGTAGAGCGGCTTGTCGATGGATGGCATCATCTTCTCCTCCACGTCAAAGATTTCTTTCCATGACACTTCCTCCAAGGCCAGCTCTTCCCCCGGGTCCATTGACCCTGCCACATCCGCCCAAAAGATGGTGCCTCCTGCTTCGTACATATTTTGCTGGCTCACACTGATTTTGCAGTTCTCAGGAGACCAAATCTCTTTGAAGTTGCACCGACCACGATTCGCGGCATCGATCTCGAAGGGCCCCAAGTCACACAGACTCTTGACGGACAACTTCAAGAAGGCAGGGAGTCGCTCATGCACCTGGCGGTCAGGGTTCTCAGAATGTCACACACACAAACACACACACTCTGAGCACATTGTTTTGCTGGGTGACAGTTATTTTTGCACATCACTGCTGCTGAGGACGCTGCCACTCGCACCACAGTCTTCATGCCAGGCAAACAGCCCGTTGTCCTTGCAGCCTGCTCCTCCGGCAGCTGTGGCATCTCTGTGGGCGAAGGCGGCGAGTCACTCTGAGGCAATTTGCCCGTCGGGACAGTCACAGCCGCTTGTCTTCCAGGTTGACCGTGCAGAAGTCTCTGGATAGACGCGTCATCACTGGTGGTCTTCACTCTGGAAGCGGCCATGGTCAAGAAAAGCGAATTGCAAAATGGCTGGCGGGGCCAAGCGCTTAAGCCGCGGCGGCAACAAAAACCAAGGTTGCAATTCACCCTGGCCTAGCGCTAGGTCGGGGTGTATTGGCACCTCAAACCCCGCCTACCAATACACCAAACTCATGTTGCGAATTCTAAGGGTATTGCTTGGTTACTTACCAAGTGGCAATACACCCCGACCTAGCGCTAGGTCGGGGTGTAATGCCACTTGAGTTTGAGTGACACAATACACTTTTGCGATCAAAAACTGGCCGTGCACCGGGCGCCCGGCCCGGGTGAGTGTCAACAACGACCATGAACGAGCCTTGCAGATGACTTCTGAATCACACTAAAGTACCTTAAAGGCCAAAACCCCAATTTGTTTGAAACCTTTTAAACCATCAACACCCTAAACCCTAAGAACTCTGAATCGTCCCCAAAGGCGGCAAAATATCTATCCCAAAACACAACCACACTCTTGGAGCAATGGGGGCCCGGCACCAGCCAGCCTGAAGGCGGAAGTTCACACTTGTGGAAGTCGCAGGAGTGAGATGGTAACACACATTGTCGCTCGGGGCCGCACAGTTGGAAGGCGATTTGCTGACTGAAGACGGGCACCTGGCTCAAGGGACTCTCACTGTGATATGAGAGTGGGCACTGGCTCCTCTGTCACCCTATATGCACCAAATACAACCACACAGCTGTTTCTTCATCAAGCGCCTGCTGTGTTTCATCTGTGCACAGCCAGACCTTACCCCCCCCGCCCCCCTGTGGAGTTCACATCTGAGAACGCTCTCAGACTATGTGCTTTGCTCCATGGTACACCTGCTGCAATCTGACTGACCCTTACAAAAAGAGCGATCCCAAACGTCACGTGTTTTTCTTAGCCCTCTTCTTTGGAGGGTTTGCTACACTGGCTGACACTCCGAAATTAAAAGAAGCTCCTTGCTTGCCGGGAACATGCTTCCCAGGGGTTAATCGTCGAACGGCTGACATCCAGCTGTACAAAGAAGCCATGTCGTTCACAGTGGCCCTTGGTTCAGCATCGTTCACACTCATCTTCCAGGAGCTGTTCGGAATTTGTGTGAAATGTCGGACAAGCTTGCTAAGGCTCTGGAAGTTCGCCCGAAACTGATCACTCAGGTGCACTGTGGAAACGCTTCCCTTGATGGCCGGCTGATAATATCTCACCCTCTGTAGCCGGTGGCTGGAATTCCAGTCCTGCCTCGACGCAAGACCCTTGCCAAGGGCCACCACGGTCAAATAGACGCGAGCCATGTCGATCCTCGCAAAGTCACAGACTCATTCAGATTCATGAAAAATCAACCGACCTGACCCTTGGGTAAGCAGGAGTGTTGCCGCTTGGAAGCAATTAAACTAAATCGCGTCAAGCGTCCCAGCCCTCATCTGCTCCACCGCTGAAAGATCGTCCACGACCACGACAGTGGCTGTTTGGAGCACTTGAAAATTGACCTGCTCACCCTGAGGTCGCTTCACCCTCCCAGCAAGAGGCTGCTGAATGCCATCTTTCGTCAAATCCAAGATGACAGCGTTGTCCCTCAGGCCGGCACCAGCAGGGCCCTGCATCACACTTCCGGTCCGCAGCTCCGGCTTTGGCGCCCGAAGGCCGAGCTTCCGCCTGGTTCTATCGGCCTGACCAGCCTGAGCCTTCCTCACCGTGTTCTTCTGGAATTTGCGAAGCTCCGTGCACCAAGCGGGACTGTCTGCCAGTTTGTACCTGTTTGGCCTCGCAAAGTCATTCACCCTGTGGCCCAGGAACGTTCTGGCCGACGAAAGTTCTTCTGTGGACATGCTGCACAGTTTCCGGACTGTTTCACGCTGACCCTTGAACTTGGCCGAAACACCACGACTGCTGGGGACCCGAACTTTACCGGCATCCGCTCGCTTCCGATAGGAACGAAACCGTCGACCGAACCACTCTATCCAAAGCTCCTGGCAGGAACGCGTGAAATCTGTCATCTGCAGGGCTGCGCAGCCTGCGAATTGCAAACCACAAGAGGACTCGACAGCTGCGACTGAAGCTTGCACCGCTATCTCTTCTTCACGCTGTGGGCCATCCAGTCGCAACTCCAACAAGTGTCCAACGGTAACGCCCTCCAGGTCAAGCGGGCCTTTGCACTCTTGGAGGAAGCTGCGCAGTTGGGACAAGTCACGCTCCACGGAGCATTCGCCATCCAAGACACAAAGGTACAACCTCACACTGGGCTTCAACGCCTCTAGGCTTCCACTCAGCACTGTCCTCCACGCCGGCCTGCAATCTTGATCCTTGCGACACCTGCTGAGTGTTGCTTTGTCCGCCAAGAAGACTGCCACCTGACTCTCGAACTCCGTAACCGCCAGGGCCTTGTCCACCTCCTGCCCTGTCAGCTTCATGACCATCTTGAAGCGGGCTATCTGGTCCAGGCGTGTGGCTTGCCATGCGGCGGCGTCACCCTGACGCATCTTTTCACGGGCCGCTTGCCACAGCTGCAGATCAAAGCAGCTGAACCTCATTATGCTTGTCTTGACTCTGCAGAGAACCAGTAGCCCCTGTACTGTTTGGGCGCTTGAACTGTTCAAAAGGATCCCATTCAAAGTCAAGGCCTAGGAGCGCCACGTGAGAGTCGGAGCAATGGCAGTCTGCCATCACTCTGGCAATGGTGGCGTCGACACATGCCTGGGCGCTGGTCATCACACTTTGGCATTGGCTCTTGGACATTGGCCCCCACATCGTGTGCAGCCGATCACAAAACTGAACGGTAGCACACTGCATGGCATTGCGACAGGCTTGAAAAGCAAATGTCCCCACGTCAGTTGCTTCGGGTTCACACAGCACCCTCCCTTCCAGGAATAACTGTCGCAGGCGGCCTAGGAAGAAGTCACGCTCCCGAAGGACAGCAGATATATCGTGATCTGCTCGGTCGTTGAGCCGGACATACTGAAGCACCTCGAGTCCGAAGTCCGTGGCCAAGCCAGCCTTCAGGGCATGCTCAGCAGTCATTGACTCTAGCATTTTTTGGCTTTTGCATCTGATGCCGGCTTCCAATCTTTCGTCCGACCTTGGCTCTGGTTGCATTAAAGTGTTTCAAACTGGACTGAATTTTGAACCTACAATATCAAACACCAAAGCACAAAAGCCCACACTGATAACACTAGCAAGTTTCGCTTGGTACGCCAAAAGGAGCGCTATCGGCTCCAGCATTAAGCAATAGCGAGCCTGCGGCGTTGCTGATGAGTCGAAGCGCTGCTTGGCATAGGACAGAGTAGTCACCGCTCGTCGAAGATTTGGCATCGTCGGTGCCTGACAGGTTCAAAGACATTATTGGTTTGAAGTCTAAAAGGTTTTATTTTTAATAATATAAGGGTTTTAAAGGGTTTAGGCTCTACGGTTAACCTTCCGGCCTCACGCTGTAACACTGCAAAGCGAAGGCGCCATGCGTCTGAGTTCTGCAACGCCGGTATCACTCTCCCAAAATGGTCCCAGAATGATTTAAAGCGCGGCTCCAAAGTAATTGCCAGAGCTGCACGCCGTATTTGGTGTGCTCTGTCCACTATCGTCACACTCAAGTTGGGAAGACAACGTCCGCGCATGAGCGCCATGGACTTCTTCATCGCAGCCGCACCATCTGTGGTACACGCCTTCACAGTGTTCAAGATGTGCTGCAACAGCGCATCGTTCGTGTCGTCACCCTCCGGGGTGCAAAGCATCTGGAAAGCTGCCTTGACACTGTCGGCCACTTTGATCCCATAGTCCTCTTCCAAATCATGGGTGGTTGTTCCAGTCATTGTTCCATGATACTTCAGCACTGCTGCCACTCCAGTGGTAACACAAGACTCCTCACCCTCACCCTGGAGTGTCTTGCTGCAGGCCCGAAACCTGATCACCCTGTATGGTGCTTTGTCGTCCAGGGCAACGGAACAGCAACTGCTATTCTTCAATGCTTCTCGTCTCCGCCGCCTGACAATCTCGACCATGACAAGGACCATTCGTTTCAACGTATATCTGGTCACACTCTTCTTGCGAATCGCGATGTAGGTCTCGGTGACAGACTGGGCCGCAGCCTTGTTGTATGACACTGGACTCTTGATCATCCGCCAGCAGCGGAGCCAGTCCTGAGTTCAGCCGGGGTAGGTTAAACTAAATTTTATAAGTTAGTAATTCTGGACACTGATCCTTCTTGACTCTACAAGTATTGCATCCAAAGCTCTGCAGGCGTCGGAACTGACCCTGACAGCAGCTCCTCGTCCTCACGGCTTCCCAGGATAAGACTCTCCAGCGGTGCATCCGGTAATGACACTCCGCGAATTGCTCTCTTGTGGATGTCACTCTCGGCGTGATTCTGGAACGAGCTGGCCTGCATCTGGGAAAGAGTGCGGATCTCGTAGCGGGCAAACTTTGTGTCGAATCGGCGGCGCAGGTGCCGGGCCCGACTGTCACTCTGTGCTGCGCGTGCTCTAAGTGCAGCGCAAGGCGCGCAACCTACAGCCCATTCGCCGGCTAGGCTCGCCGGGCGT